GCCAGCCCAGTGGCAGAGTGGCCTGCACCACCCGCTCCTTGCTGTGAATTCCCAACTATTTTTAGTCCCATGATAAATAATTCATTGGGAATCCAGGATCAGCTACCCGAGCAGAGAGGAAGGGGAGCAACACACTACCCAAAACAAACAGAGCCGCTCTCCCAGCAGCTCTGCCCATCTCAGCCCTCCTCAAGGACGTTTAAATATACTCTGGGCCCTCGTGGTGACCGATCGGGTTTGCTCGTGCCAGCCCTGGCACCTCACCCATCCCAGGCCCTTATCCTTCTCTTCCTCAACCCAACTCTTCCCTGTGCTCAGGACCCTCTTCTAGCATCAAGTAATCCAAGCACAAGCCAGCAAACCCCTCCTGTGATGCCAAGCACTGCCGCCGAAGGGGCTGCTCCACTCCTGGCTGCAACTGGGAGCAGGTTTGAGCAAACTGGTTTCCCACTGGACCGAGCCGCAGGTGGAAAGCAACCCCATCCCTTGCGATCGGAGCGCGATGGCAACGGCTGAGGGGAGGTGGCATGGGCACATCACATCATTCAGCCATTGCTGAGAGAACCAGGGGAATGAATTTCCATCCTTCCCAGGAGTCCGGTGCTGCCGGCCAGAGCCAAGCTGCTCGCCACAGCCCTTGGAGGCTGCGGAGGAGGATGGAGGGGTTTAGGGCCAGTGAGCCAGCGGCTGGCAGGGGCTCCATGCGCAGATGGGAGCCAGGGCTGCTCCAAAATGGCCGGATTCGGGATGCAAAGAGCAGCCGGCTCCTCCAGCCCAGCCAACTCTGTGCCTGTTTTTTCAAGGGGCAAGCTAGAGGAGTGCAGGAAAATGGTTTTTTGGGGGCCAAGCATGGGGAAAGCAAATTGCAGGAAACTGGTGGAGGCAGAGGAGGAACCAAGCCCATCCCTGCGCTACTGCCAGAGCCAGGGCTGCTCTTGGGCTCGGCGTAACACAGCAAAGCCCCCACGGACTTTAAAAAAAAATCCACGTTTCAACCTCTTGTAGCAAGCACTGCGGAATTGCTCCTTTGGGAAAATGTCTTCCCAAAAGGGAGTTTTTCCAGCTGGGTGAAGGGGGGGGTGGCTGGGCTGGAGCAGGAGGAAGTTGGCCCCAGCCGGGAGCCCAGGCATGGCAATGCCACCTTCCAGCAACCTCCCTGGGGACCAGAGGACACCCACAGAGCTACTCAGTGGCTTTAGCACTTGCTTTTTGTTGCTTTGGGTGGTTTTGAGCAGGTTAACCCCTTTCCTAGGCACAACTTCACCTGATACCAAACACTCGCAGAAACCTCCTGCTAAAGGCACCGATCAAGTCCTTACCTTCCACCACCCCCTGAAATGTCATTTTAATGCAACAGGGAAAGTTTGCTCCTAATTTTAAACCTCCTTTTTGCCCTCCCTCCATCCCTCCCCTGCTCCAAGAGGGGGGAGCTCATGCAGATATTTTGACCTCAGGAAAAGGAGAAATAATATCCCAAAATGCAAAATATCTCTGGAGAAAGAGAAACCTTATCCCTCAAAAAAGCCTCCGAGCCTAAAACCACAGGGAAGGGCAGCCTGTGCCAGGGGAGGGGGAACCGGTGCCAATGGACAGAAAGGACAGAGCAAACCCGAACCTAGCGGGAGCCGCATGGGGAGGATGGGAGGCACTGGGGAGGGCACCGGGTTGTGCCAGGGCTTGTTGCCCGGATCAGGGACACCCCTGTGGAGCAAGGAGACCTTGACGGAGCCCCCCAAAAGGAGGGAAAGCAGCAAAACCTCCCCAAGCCAACTCGCCGCCATCCCTGTCCCCATGCAGGGGATGACTTGGGAGGGAGAAGTACTGGCACCCCCAGCACGCACCATCTCCTTTCAACCTTCATCTGCCACCACACAGCATCACCCTCCTCTTCCTCATCACCCTCCTCTTCCTCA